TCACAGGTCTAAAACGTGAAATTAGGCGGTCACCAAACGTGTCTTTCAATAAATCGATTGTGGCACGAGCTGTGTGACATGTTCCGCCGTCTTGTTCAAACCACATCTCCTGGAGATCATGGTTATTTAATTCAGGAATGAAAGATTTGGTAATCATAGCTCTATACCGATCACCATTGACTGTAACGTTCTGGCCATCATCGTTTTTGAAGAAGTACGGACCAATGATTCCACCAGCCCATTAAGCGCACCAAAGAGTCAGTTTTTCTGGATGTAACGGTGTTTCGGCATACACTTGAGGATTAGCTTCGCTCCAAATGCGGCAGTTTTGTTTGTTGACGTAGCCATTCAACCAGAAGTGCGCTTCATCGCTAAACAAAATTCGCTTATGAAAATCGGGAACAAGGGCAATCTCGTTTTGGGCCCATTCGACCAATCTACGCCTTACTTGATGATCGTTTGGCTTCGATTCTTGCACGAGTCGGATTTTGTAAGCACGTAAACCAAGATCCTTCCGCAAAATCTTCCATAAAGTGGATGGACACAGATCCAATTCCTGTGCTCGATGGCGGATGGACTCATCCGGGTCTTCCTCAATGCTACGCTCTATAGCAGCAATAGCTTCTTCTGTACGCACCGTACGGCGTCTCTGGGGATGCGAGTTATCAATAAGAGTAAACGTGGTGCGAAAATGTTCCATGGTAAATCGGATTAACTGCTCTGATGGACGATTTTGTCGACGATAAAATGGTCGTAGTGCGCGATGCGTATTCCGCACAGAACCATTATTTTCGAAATAAAATTGCAATATTTGTTGTTCAGGCGTGAGTCCATTCATGATGAATTGACAAACCAAACTGAGCCATCTTGAACAGTAATGCAAAGTTAAAATTCTATACATCGAAAAAAAAACACCCATTATTTATTGTCAGTTGGTTTATTTGATAAAAAAAGAGCATTAAAAGTAAACCAAAAGCGGACTGGTCGCGATACGGAATAGATATACAATAAAAAAACAAAGCCCATTAAGATTCGGGGTTTTGTAATTAATTTTATTTAGAATTTAAATTTTCTGGAAATAGTGGTGATTAAAGTGAAAACTCTTTTATTTTTTATTTAAATAAAAACGTCTAAAATAAAGATCCGTTACTTTCTTCTTCAACAAGATTGATTGATTAACAAGGAATCACACATTCCTCCTCAATTAAGAAAATGTGACAACAAAGTTTTTTCCCACAAGCAAAAGTGTATAGCATAAATACATAAAGCTATAATACATAGTTTGCTGTTAAATATGTTTTTTGCGACATCTTTTGTTTGAAACACAAAATTCAAAAAAATAAATTAGAAAAAATAACGTAATAGGAGTCGCAATTTGTTTTTGCTGATACATTTTGTAGAGGACGTTTGGTAAAAGGGATGAGGGAGGGTCACTTACATTTTACGAGGACGTTTTTAATTTTTTGGAAAAAATAATATTTTGTAAACAATTTTCCTCTTCTTTGAAGTAAAAAATTAATAAATTATTTTTATACCAGTAGAACTAACCTCATTTTTCTTTATTCTGCTTGTCTTAGGAATTATACGGACTTTTTTGAAACACCCTGTATGTTAATTGTATTTATATTTCCCGCCATAGGACTAGTTTTAAAATGGCCAAACCACATTCTTCCGAGTGTTTTGTCAGCTCTTTACATATGAGCTTCACATGATCAGCGTCGAAAAAAAAATTTTTTTTATCTGTCCGTTCGCGTCTTTTGGTTTTTCCTGAATAATTTTCGAACCGTTGGAGCTACAAAATTGACATTTGCCTCCTTTTTAACCCTCCACGAGATACATAAGCTTTTAAGAAATGGCCTCGAAGCGACTCCAGTATATATCTTTTTTTCGCGATTTTCGACTATATCTTTAAAAAAAATAAAAATCACGTGTGCAAGGGTCTACAAAAAAGACCGTTTGTCAAAAACCGTTTGCAAGACCGAAAAAATTCTTTAACCAGAAGATGCAGAGGATACGGCTCCATAAATTTTTTTTCTTGACAATTTTTCAAAAGTATACAGGATGCGCCACAAAATCAAAAAATCTGAAAAATGGGTCCCCCTATTATTGAAAATTGGCAATAATTTAAAATCTGTGTTTTAGATGTCAGTTTCTTTTACATGACGATATAACCCACATAGACAACTAAAACTTTTGTATTTAAAGTGTATGTACAGATTTGCATTTAGACCCTTTAAATTGCTGGCAATAAAATAACGGCAAGTATTTTTTATTTTTTTTTTGTTTATTTTGGCTTTTTATATACAAGGTGTTTTAGTTATAGACAAAAATTCAAAAGACCCTAAAAATTGTTCTTTTATTAACCGTAAATCAAAATTCGTACTAAAAATAGCTAATCCGTTAGAACAGTGTTATAGGCCGTATCAAAGGCTACAATTTTTATATTTACGATTTTCGTCTGTCGCGTACCCTGCTCGAGATATTTGAAAAAATCCAATCGCAATATCTCGCAGTCAATCTAGACCCGATGACGTCATTTACTATTACGGTGTACTGCATGGTTTCAGTAAAGAGGTATTTTCTCGAAAACTATTTATCCTATTGAAAGAATTCATATACCGGGAAACGTGCGAAATCTGGTGTTGTAACTTTTACTTCCGGTATTTTTTGGTTTATGTACAGGGTGTGTGGATTATTCGCAAAAAAAAAACAAAGAGATCTTGAAAATTCTTGTTTTCGTGGGTAAATTATTAGCCGCAAATGAAAAACTATAAAACATGGGATGATTTGGTTTAAAAAGTGTCGAGATAGAGTTTCAAGTTTCGTCTATCATACAGGGTGGGCCAGATATTTCAAAAAATATAATTAGGAAAAATTTTAAATTTACCAAAGTTTGCCGTAACTTTGAAGTTTTTCGAGCTGTGAAAGACATTTCATCAGAAGCATGATAGCAAAACGATGCGTCCCTTTACCACAAGCTTTACCGAAGCTATTTCTTTTTAAAATAAAAAGATGCTTCGGGCTAGGCGCTACGAACTTGCCCCGCCCAGCGATCATTTTTAGAAAGCAATCTTGTTTTTTATGTGATATTGTTTACAAACAACTTCCTCTTGATCTACTACGACTGTTTACAATCTACTATCTCAAATGAAGTAGTCGTCATTATTCTTATTTTAATTAATGAATGGCTATCGCCAACTAGGTGAATAGGAACACGTCGCCCTTAATTACGTGAATAAATCAACCGATGCTGCAGATTTACGGCTGTACGTTAAAATTTTCATAGCCCAGTTTTGCCAAGTTTCGTAAATTATCTATAAGTCACCGTCCAAATAATCCGGAGCTTGACTTGAAACTAAACGGCGAAAACAGAAATTTATTGCTGGCTTTCAAACTTGACAAACATCAACGATGCCAGATAAACTTCGTTGCTGATGAGGATATAAAGCTTAAGAGGATTTGTTAAAAGCTTGTTGGTAATCCTTTAAGGAGAATATTGACTTAACCAACCCTAAAGTAAACCAAAACAAACTGTATATTCTCGACAGTTATCAGTCTCGATGAAATAAAATCGGAGTCTGCATTTAAGTATTTACTTCACGGATTGAGCTTGATTCAAGGACACTTCACGTTTCAGAAACGTTTATTGATATTTCTGTTAAGTCTAAAGATGAAAAAAATAGCCACACCTTGAACGAAAAACGCATTAAAAAAAACAAATTCGGTAGCGGTCTTGAAATTGCGACCAAAATACGAAGTTTTCAATATAGACTAAATTTAGCCTATGCTTTATGAGGCTATTATATAGTCAAATGTTGTCAATGTTTGTTAATAGCAGTTTCGGATTTTATTATCGAAATAAGTTTTAATTATAATTTCTCACATATAGTTTATACAGGGTTTCCTATAATTAGCGTCGCGCAGTAAAACTGCAGATTTATTGGGTAAAAATATTAACATTACTAACATTTTTGCATGAAATATTATACTTAAAGCGCATTTACTGCATTTGTTATTTGTTATTGTTATTGTTCTCTGCAAATTTAAATAATGAAAAAAATGAAATTTTTAATAAAAAGGTAAATTCACAAAAATTGTTTTTATATAATAGAACTAAAATTTAAAAAAAAAGCTGTTTAATTAGCAATTTATTACAAAATGTTAGAACTCTGTTTATTTTTTTAATTTTCCTCAAAAAAGAAATTTTATTTTGGTTTGCTTTGGTTAATTTGGGTTAATTTTGACGAATTTTGACAGTTTTCGATAGGTTTAGGGTTACTTTTGGGGTTACTTAGGTAGTTGTAGATAGTATTGGATCGAAAAATAACCTCGCAGTACTGTTTGTTCCATTCAGGAATTCACTTTAATTTTAAATAACTATGTTTTAAATAAGGAAACAAATTAAAAAAATACAAAATCCAAACCAATAAAAACATAAACAATACTTTTTTAAATACGGATACTTTAATACCTAGTAGACTTATTATATCCATTAATATTCAAGTGTGGTAAACGGCATTTGAGTCACGAATTTATTTGTCACGAGTGCTTAATAAACGAGTGACTTAAAAAGTTTATTAGTTCTTGGATGCATTTTTTCGAAACAACAATCTTTTGGGGTCTAATAGAACAAAAACGTATGTTTTTAACTTTTTTCTTTTATTAAAATGATAACACCATGCATCCTCAAACCTACTTAAAAGTAAAATAACAGACTCGAAGTTGTAAATACTGACCTACATACGTAAAGAAATTACCTAATTGAATGGAAGGTCTTTCGAATTGTCTCTTTTTTTTACTTCTCAAAATAAGAGTTCCTTATATAAAAAGAAACACAAAACCAACACTGACAATTAAAACCAACAGTTACCATCTGATCTACAGGATAATGGAAAATCTGCTAAAACTGTTTCTTTTAAGTTTTAGTATAAGCTCTTTCACATAAGAACTTAGTTTCTCCGAGTCAGTTATTTTTTTTTAATTTTTATAAACCGACTCACCTTCAAACAGAATGACGAGGACTAGCAACAGAGTCAGAGGCGTCGGTTGCATCTTGTCTTAAAGATGTGTTCTCTGTCAAACAGCAAGGCGTCTTTTCAAAGCAAAGTTTCTAAAGTCACTTATAAAACCATCACTGGCGAACAAGTTTTTTATCGCGACACGAGGAGTTCTTGGATGCTTTAATAGCGAACGCTAGACGTGGAGACAATTTTTAGGTAAACGCGTCTGGAATTACCCCAAAAAACGTGAGATCATTTAAGTGTTTTGAAACTCACGAGTAAGCGGTATGGTGCTTATGTTGGATACGACATTTTGTTTAACACACAAAAATTTTAAATGCAAAAGTATAGGAGTGTTATACTATTATGCGGGGTATCTCATAGGTAAAGTCTGTTCATGGATATAAGAAAGTGACCAATTGCTTTTGAATGGGATTATCAAAGGGTGGTCATTAACATACAATGCAACAAGATTATTACCTAAAGTTTCGGAATTTAAATTCAGGTAAAATTGCGGTCCGTAATTAAAAATAATTTTAAACCTTAATATCCTTTGGATTGGTATACTACTTAGTTTAAGTTTATTAGTAATCATTCTTATTTCGTGTATAATTCAGCGTGTGTTGAATCGTGTGGGAATTATGCAAAATATATGCGAATCTAGTGTATCTCAGGAGGAGATGCTCCCGCCAACACTATTCTATTGAGACTGAGGAAGTTATAAACAATATTTATTTGACTCTCATTGAACGTGGTGCCAGCAAGCAAGCATCTTTAGAAGAAACGGCCACATTGACGCAAATTCCAACATCAACTGTATGGAAAATTGTGAATAATCCCATTTCAGCGAGGAAAAAAAGAAGCGATGCTGACATTTTCTCGAGTGTAGATATGAAAGTGATCAAGATATAATACGGCGTAAAATTTGCCAGTTATACGAGTAACAAAGCGTGCCTACATTAGATATATTAATTAGGAGCCTTGAAAAAGATGAAACCGGATTATACCAAAAAGCAATTAATTGAGGTTCTACAAAGATTGAACCAACAAAAGGAATACATACGTCTGTGATAATTTTTATTATGCAAAAAATCTAGGGCATACAGTTTTAAGGCACCAACTGAAATCTGCCACTCGTCGTAACATTGTTTTTCCCCGTGTTAACTCCAATGTCCTCAAACTTATAGAAACAGAAGTTTTTAACATCCCTCCACAAAGTTGGGCAAATTCTGATAAGATTTAAACTTAAATACATACATAAACAAATATTGTTTAGTATCTTTCCTAAGAGAACCCCAAATAATTAAATTCTAAGGAAAGTACTGACCTGTTCGGCCATATTTCATTCTTACAGCTTGCGCGGGTCTTTCCTTAATTCGCATCAGTTAGTCACTTTCTTATATCTATGAACAGACCATATCTTTCATTACCCAAATTCCTTCTTTTAAATGTACCACAATGAATATAATTTTATTTTTCAAATTCAGGTTTCTTAATGTTTCCCTATTCTTATTCCCAATAGTTCCTTAGATATCTTGATTAGTTTAGAAGTTTTGAAAGATGTAACATTATTTTAAATAATGCGGCTTTTAGCCATTTTTAATTAGTGGTAATGGTTTCTACGACCAACGGAAACAAATGAATCGTCCTTTCCAAATTAGTATTGAAAATTGATTTGTCGCTCACAGGGAGATGTAAAAGAATTCCGCAATAATGGGCTCCCTACTGAGGATTCTGTCATATTATTGTATAGTGTGATGTATAATTTATTTAATAATACCTACTTTCGATGATTTTCTTTCTTTTCTTCTTTCATATTATATATCAAAAATTATTCAAAGCCGGTTTTTCTAGTTAGAATTAATTATGGCCAAGTTTGATATGTTTTTGGTTTTATTTACGCCGAAGAAGTTGTGGCAGTCTGTATAATGGTAACTATTTTCATTGCATGAAGCACGTATTTAAAAATTTTCGTAAAATCTTATGAAGATAATCCAATCCGCAGTAGCTACCCTATATAATTGGCTAATTTTCTAAACTTCAGCTCAAATTAAGCAAATACGAAACAATTCACAATGACATTTTGCTGATTTTCAAATGAAAGATGAAGTAAATAGTTGCATAGTTTTTTTCACTTCGACTCTGGGTCTCATGCTGACTATGGGATATGTGTTGTTCATTTGTTGTTGTTTTTTACCATTTTCCATTACGTGTTTCTGGTTTTTCAATCGTTTTGTTCGTTTTTAAACAAGCAATGTTAAAATGAAGAAGACATTTTGGTTATGATTTAACCGTACAATTTTCTTTGTGCGGAATTGTAAAAGGAATTAACCACTGAATGATTACAGTTGGCTTAAAAAATGTGAATACAACAATTTCTATTTATAACGAGACGAGCAGTTTTTATTTTTGATGGTTTGATCATTTGTAAACTGATAAAATCAAATCATTTCAATGGGTCTTCTTTGAATTAAGTGGTAATGGTATATTTTGACCATTTTTTATTGTGACAATTTTATCTAGACAGCATACTTAATACACCAGTTATTATATAAATGAAATTTTGAAATATGATTATATAAATAACGCATTTCCATGAAAATACCGAATATTGATAATTTCATTTTATCATTTGTATGACATGATAATGTACATTTGCAATTTTTTGGTATTTTTTGCCTCTTGATTTAGGTGTCTAGAGAAAATATTAAATTTTTCAAATTTTCATGTGTTTTTTCAATACCCTGGCTGCTAATGTTAGAAATTACTAAAATATTTTTAATTTGTAGGTATATCGATATGTATGCGATTTTTTCGAATGTTTTTAAAAGTTAGGTTATTATTTTATATAAACATTCAAAGAAAATATTATTTGATCAGTAAATAAAAATATATAAATAACATTTTCCTCACTTTTTTTGGACTGAGTGCCATTGAGACGTTTGAATTCAGAAAAATATATAGTGAAATTAAAAAACTATAATTTTTAAAGAAACACAGTACATAATGATTTAGTCATTATTCAAAGGCTTTCAGAAGCTGATATCGTAATACCTGAGGACGGTTCCTTAAAAAAAGTTCAAGTGGACGAACAAAGAGATACAAAGGGAACATATGAGCGACGCATCCTCCTGTAATAATTAATCCCTTGGTGCAGCTCTCAAGAAAATGAATAACGGGAGATGCTTTCAGATGGAAGGAGGATTATGTCGGGCAAAGTGATTTTAAAAGCGGATTTGAAATTGAAAAAAATCGATTATAATCCGAATGCGCTTTTCTTTTTATTTAGCGTCTTAGAGAATCACGGGTTCATAATGATAATACATATTATAATAATTTAATTATAAATTCAATTCACTTTCATTGGTGTTCTTAAAAAGGTAATATTTTATTTAATAATTTTATTTTTTTTTATTTAAAATTGTTATATAATCATTGAATCAGACATGTTAAATTTATTTTTGGGCACAGGCTTGTGGTGGGTGAAAAAATGTAGACTTGTGTGTACTTATTTTTTATCAGATCATGAAAGACTAGATAAAATTTTAAATAAAAGTTGTTGAAAAAAATATCATTTCAAAACAGAAATTATTCCTTTCAATTAAACTCAAAACCTACCGACATTTTTTGATAATCGAATGTTGAAGAAAATCGGCCAAAACATTTGTCCTGGGTAAATATGGAATTAAATTAATCTCTATTAATGTTTTTTTAGGTATAAGGATTATATTTATTTTTTAATTATTTTCACTTGTTAATTTTAACTTAACTTAAATTTATTTTTTTTTACAATAATCCAGCCAGAGTTTTTGTATGATTTTAAGATACCCTCTAAGAGTATAAGGAATAACAGACACCCTCAAAAAAATGCTTATAAGCAATTTGTCAAGGAGGTTTAATTTTTCTTATAAAGAGAATGAAAACATTTTTTTCGTCATATTTTTAAAATTAATATAGTATTTTGTTTTTCAGATAATAACGACGGATATATAATAAAATGCGAAGGAAACCAGATTTTAAAATGAATTTTCAAACAAAACGTTTCAGAATAGAATTCTGTGAACGAGTATCAAATAAGCTCATGAAGCCGAAGAGAAGAACAAAAAAAAGATTATCAAAGCAGAAGCCATTCATTAAGCTACAATAATTAAATTTTGACAAGACCAGAGACAATTACAAATGTTTCTTTAATTTTGAAATATTTTTTAAACGTTTTTTAAATCTAAATTTGCTACCTAGGGTGTTTCAAAAAACACAAGATAATGCTCAGATATTGGTTATCCAAAAAAAAAAAGAAAAATTTCGGAAATGCTTTCAAGATAGTTTATTGTTTATTAAACCGGATTTTTTACAATATATTAAACATTTGTTTTCCTATTTTGTTGACATTTGGCAGCATAATTTATAGTTATAGAACACTAACTGTGTTTCAACTAGTATTGTCAAATGTTTGTGAATAAGTTTAAAAAAGTAACATTGTTTTGGCTCTTGCGTTGTTTTCGAATTTTGCTTTATTTTTGAGCGAAAAAATAAAAATCATGAAAATCAACAAAACATATTTTTATGAACATTTATTTTTTGGACCCTTTTAAAAAGTTCTACCAAATTAACACCAAAGAAAGAGTTGAAAACCAAGCATTTCTGGACCTATCTTTATATGAATTTTTTGGCGATTTTTTTGAAACACCCTGTATAGCCATTTATTGCACTATTAAGTATTTTTCATCACACTTTTCTTACTTTTATTTATTAGAACTAATAATGAAGGCTTTATGGGGTTTAATTTAAGTTTTTACAAAGTATAAAGTTTTCAAACCTTAAATTATGTCTTTTTCGACCGGTAAAAATTCAAACAAAATTTACGGAACTCTGAAAAAAATATTTTGACTGTGCTGCCGCAGAACCAAACTTTTTCCGCTTGGTACAATTTAAATATTCTCAATTAAACTTATCGGCAAGTAATTGATTGGCTGGATGAGTATCTCGCGAGTTTCAAAAAACCCAACGATCAACGTACAAACTGCCAGACCTTTTCGAAAATTGGCGGGAAACTTCCAGGACGTCGTCCGGATTTTCGGAAAACCACGCGACAGGATTCCCGTAGCAACTGTTTCACGCGCAAGAAGGACACGCGAGGACTGAAAACGCGATTTAACGGTCCAACTTAGTTGGATGTAGGGGCGCAAGCGCCCCCACCCCCCTATTATTGGGACGATTTTATTTACCTTTGACCATGAATATTTTACTAGGGGGGGCTTGATTTTTCAGATAAAGCAATTTCCCTTGATACGGGACGCGCGGGACAGAAAAGGGATCCGGCTAAGGGTCTCAGGATGAATAGCTAAATGGAAAATTTTGATTTGAATCTCGTACCTTACCGCTTTTTTAAGGCGCTTTCCTTGAATCCCCGTTAATCTGATTATAAGGATTAAGATGAGAATCACAGTTACCACATGTGCCGTAATTTAGACAAAACTTCATTAAGAGTATTTAAAAAATGGCGATTAATGAACATCTGCAACTTTCGGCGATCATTTGCGATGCAATTTTGGCTGGCAACTGTGTGTGTGTGTGTGTGTGTGTGTGTGTGTGTGTGTGTGTGTGTGTGTGTGTGTGTGTGTGTGTGTGTGTGTGTGTGTGTGTGTGTGTGTGTGTGTGTGTGTGTGTGTGTGTGTGTGTGTGTGTGTGTGTGTGTGTGTGTGTGTGTGTGTGTGTGTGTGTGTGGTTGTGTGTGTGTGTACACTGTAGATCACGATGATGTACGGTGAAAGGTCCCAATTTTCTAATTTAAAACTAACCAAAACTAACTCAATTTTAATCAGGGTCGGCTTTAAAGTCTTCAAAGCATAGACTTTAAAGCCGACAGAATTTATTTCGTCAGCTCACATGTTGTGATGCGGCAGAAAATGTTTCAGTTCTGTATTTGACAACACCATGACCCAACTATTTGGGGACAAGTTTAAACGTTTTCAAAATTCAGTTTTAATTTGATTAGATTTAAGGTTTAAATATTCAATATGTATTAAATTATTGCTACTAGGCTTCAATATTCTTTACCAAAATAATTTATCCAATTTTGATAGCGACATCTTAACAGGTTAGTGAATGGGACGAATATACGAACTTTCCTGGACCGCTTGTCCTTTTTTGAAATAATTTCAAATGTTCCTCTAGTCTGCATAACATAAACCCATAATAATAAAGAAAACTACTTGCTGTCAAACCGGAAGTTGTCAGTTCACCAAGTTACATTTATATATATGATTGCATTTTTTAATCCTCTGGGTTTGTTTAAGTTTCCCAATCCTTATATCCTGAGTACCAATAAATCAATAAAATCTCAAGAGGCATAGATTGGTCATTTCTCCACTGCAAATTTACTGCCTTTTGGAAACTGAATTGGATTTGGACTAGTTTACCAATGGTGGAGTTTGACGTTTGCATTCTTTTAATTTTGTTAATTCGTTACGTTCGTTTGTTTTATAAATAACAGTTTATCACTTTTGAAACATTAAATTTTGTGATGCATGTTGTTGCAATCGTGTAAACAGGGTAACTAATTATGTATTGAGAGTGAATGGAACTTATTTGCGTTTTCCTTTTACAACTCGAGATTTAAGGCTTTCTGTTTTTATTAAATCAAAACATTTAACATGCCTCTTAGAGATAATATCTGCCAATGTGAAAATTAATGAGGGAAGTGAAGGTATTTGTATAATATCGCAAGGAGTTAAATAATTGAAATACATAAATATAATTATATAAAAAAAGTATTTCCAACAAATCAATTTTTGTATCCTATACCTATGGAGTTAGGTGTCGATTTTTTTTTAAATATATTTTTAAAAAATTCTTTTCATCATATAAAGAATAATATTTAAATGTATATTGGTTTCTTTTCTGGTTTCCATTCCGTATGTCATGATTGGCATGATACAGGTCTTATAGATCCTAACCTTGCTATCCTTTCGCATGTATTCGTTTGCCCATATTATATGCCTTAAGCAAACCGACATGGCAGTCGCTTTGTTGATCTGGCTTCTCAGGTCCTTCACTGGGTCGTGATAACTCGTCAGATCCATACCCATATCCGATGATTTTGTCCTGAACTACCACCTTACATCTTACGGGCTCTTTTGCAAAGGTCATGCTTTGGCTGACCCGGCAGAATTTGTGTAGTGGTCCTCCGTTTCCGCGAAAATAACTCGGTATCCCATATCCCAAGGCTTTCACCTTGTCTGATGCCTGCTCGTGACGGTATCTCTTCGCTATAGTGTCTGTCTTCTGCCTTTACTTAAGTCATATTGTTCATATTGAGACTGCGGACCGCTCTTACGATGGTGTCTAGCTTTTTTTTCGCTATCAGCATATTTATGATGTCGGAGAGGCGAACCCTAGCAAATGCCTTGGTCAAATCGATAAAGCAGACACACGCTGGTGTATTAAATTCGATTGATTTTTCTTTTAGTTGTTGATGATAATGAATATGGCGTCGGTCGTGGATATGTTTCGTCTGAGCCTTGTTGCTGTTCTTTGTTTGTTATTTGTGTTTCAAGTCCTTACTTCAAAACGCTAGTAAAGAGTCTCATACTTATATTCAACCGCGTTATGCCCCTGTAGTTGTCTAGGTGCGTCTTCTATCCTTTCTTAAATATAGGGATAGTTATACTTTTGTGCCATTCCGTAGGTATCTCCGATGTTTCAAAAATTTTGTTGTAGAGCATTTTTAGATGTTTTCCTAGCTCAGGTCCGCCGAATTTTCGATTTGGATGTGGTCTGTTCTGGGAGCTTTTCAGTTTTTCAATTTTTTTATTTTTGCCATTACCTCTTCTTCGTTCAGTGATATTTAATGATTTGTCCCGTAGTTTTCGATACTTATAGCTTCTTCGGTGTTATAAAGTCCCCTGAAGAATTTTTCCCATACACCTTTGGTGACTTCTTGTGTTTGCACCAATTCATTTATTGGCTTTTTCCTGTCCTTGAGCATCCTCCAGACATTCCTCTGTGCTGCATATAGGTCGTGATCCATTCGCTTGTAAATTTTGCCCAGTAATCTCGTTTTATGGAATGCTATCCTCTGTCAGTGTATTAATAAATGTATATTTATGTTGCTCTTTGTGGGGGAAATACGTGTTGTTTATTCGTAGCTCGTTTCTCACACATAAGTCTATCAGGAGTCCTTCATTTTCATTGGTTATCTCTTCATTATATTTTTGTTTTATGCCTGATATCAATTCCCTGTCTATTCTGACGTTCATATTCCCGAGCATATTGTCTATGGTATTTTGTTGGTAAAATGTTTTGCTCTTCTCTATGGGTTTGCTTATATCTAGTGCATATGTGCTTATTAAGTGTGTCTGAATGTGGTGCTCGTTCTTGCTTATCTCTTGCGCTATAGGCTAAGATGTAATCATCATATCTTGATGGGCCCTGGAGTTTCCTCTTCGTTTCTGATAGAACGTATATATCAATCTTATGTTGTTTCATTTCGTTAACAATCTCCTGGTCTCTGAGATTCCACGATGTTATATTCCAGCAGGCAAATCATGTTATGGTGCGTTTACGTTTTCTAGGTCGTTTCTTCCTTTTCATAGCGTGCGTCGTCATAGTATGATTCCGATCGGTTTCCGAGACTGTCCCTTCAGTTCTGAGAGCGGTATTTCTTTTACCCCAGGCAGGGTGTTAGCCTAGCCTGAGAACCGGTCTCCTTTACCCGAGCTTGGGACCAGGCTGCATCACTATTGAGTTACTCAATTCACCCAACGACTATACAGGCGAAGTTTCAGGATTTTTAAATAAATGTAAATAATCAAACATTTACAAGTCAGTAAGAGACAGACAATAACTCCCACTACTAACGCACCTTTTTATTATATAGAGTGGGCCGTTTATCTTCTGGGGTATTACAACCCTTCAAATTATTTTGTATATACAGGATGATTCATTTTTCGTGGACGTGTATCAACTTTCTTATTTTAAAAAGAACACTTGGTACATATATATAACAAACATTGACATTGATATTTTTTTATGCGAAAATATCGATACACACTTACTAATAGAGGGTACTCGAACAATTGGACTAATAATGAAATTAAAAAAATTGCCAAAAAACTTTTTTTTATTGGAAACTACCCATATTTATTATTCAAAATTAAGGCAATTTTATATAAGGTTGTATATGCCTAATATTTTGGCTTTTTTAAATATTTCCTTTTAAACATCTGTCTATCACAAATAATTTACTTTTGAAATATAACTTCAGTTAGTATAAGTGGCAATAATGTTTGAACAAAACGAGTGCTAGAACGCTGCCTCCTTGGACGCGTGTTTTGTTGTTGATTACTGTCATAATTCCAATATTTTTTGACACATTATTGATATATTTATTTATCGTTTATAAATTAAATTTATTCGCTTGCTTGCGTATCATGTTTACCGCAGAGGAGAAAATTGATATATTACAAAGTTAGATATCGAACAATAAACCGGACCCTGATTCTTAGAGATTATATATCGAAATCTCCATTAAGGAGGCGTCCAGAAAAAAAGTCTTCGCCAGGATTTACCAACACTTTAGAATATACGGAACCTTGAAAAAAGAATAAATAGACGTCATCATGTTTTCAACGATGAACAGCAACTTAATATTTTGTTGAATTTGGCAGACACCCCTGAAAATTCAACACGAAATGTGTCTTTAGATCCAGATGTCTAAAGAACAACGCTTCAAACCAGCCTTCAAATAAACAATTGGAAATCCTATAAACTCTGTCCAGTGCAGAAAGTAGAGCAACGGGATTACAACATTAAGTTAGATTTTTGCAAAATCTTATGGAGACACACTTTTCCGAAATTATATTCGCTAATATTATTTGGACGGATGAGTTCATATTTACAACGTCAACTAAATTTTCTAATAGGAAAAATACCCATTACTGGAGCACCAAGAATAATAAAAAAACATATAGAAGTTACAAAATTAGTTAGAACTTCTGTCAAAGTATGGTACGCCATTTGGAGGTTAAGAATAATAGCTCCAGTACTTTTTGATCAGAATTTAAATTCCCAACTCTACTTAGAGCTTTTAAATATTATCCATCCATTTGTTGAAAAAGAAG